GCTCCTCATTGTTTTCCATAGCATCTACACCAGTTTACATTCCCAAAGCAGTGTACGAGGGTTCCTTTTCCTCCACAGTCTCTCCAACACTTGTTATTACTTGTCTCGTTGATGATAGCCATTCGAACAGATGGAGGGTTGTATCTCATTATAATTTTGATTTGCAATTCCCTAATAGCTAGTGAACTTGAGCATCTTTTAATATATCTGTTGGCCATTTGTATGCCTTCTTGGGAGAAGTATCTGTTCAAGTCCACTGCCCATTTTTTTATTGAATTGTTTGTTGTGTGTTGAATTGTATGAGTTGTTTATAAATTTTGGATATTAACCCCTTGTCAGAGCTGTTGTTCACAAATATCTTTTCCCATTCAGTTGGTTGTCTTTTCTTTTGCTGTGCAGCAGCTTTTTAGTTTGATATAGTCCCATTCAGTTATTTTTGCCGTTACTTCCCTTGTCTTTGGGGTCAAACTCATAAAATATTCTCTAAGACCAAGGTCCATAAATCTAGCACCTATGTTTTCTTCTATGTAATTTATTGTTTCAGGTCTTATATTTAGGTATTTGATCTATAGGGGTTTTTTTGTGTGTATAGGGATAAACTACAGTCTAGTTTCATTCTTTTGCATTTGACTTTTCAATTTTCCCAGAACCATTTATTGAAGAGGCTTTCTTTTCTCTATTATATGTTTTTGGTTCCTTTGTCAAAAACTTTTTCCCATATATGTGGGTTTGTTTCTGGGCTCTCAATTCTGTTCCATTGGTCTATGCGTCTGTTTTTGGTCTATGGTCTATGCTGATATCATGCTGTTTTCATTATTGTAGCTTTGTAGTATAATTTGAAGTGGGGGTGTGTGATAACTCTGGCTTTGTTCTTTTTCTCTCAGGATTGCTTCAGCTATTCAGGGTCTTTTGTGGTTCCATACAAATCTAATGATTTTTTGTTCTAGCTAATATCATACTTAATGGTGAAAAACTGAAAGCTTTTCTTCTAAGATCAGTAACAAGACAAAGATGTCCACTCTCACCACTCTTATTCAGCATGGTACTGGAAGTCTTAGCCCAAGCAATAAGGTAAGAGAAAGAAAGAAAAGTCATCCAAACTCAGAATGAGGAAGTAAAAGTATCACTTTTTGCAGATGACATGATTCTGTCATAGAAAACCCTAAAGACTCTACCAAAAAAACTATTAGAAACAATAAGTAAAGTTGAAAAATACAAAATCAATGTACAAAAATCCACTGCATTCTTATACACTAATAATTAAATTTCAAAAAAATGAAAAAAATTCCTTCTGCAATTGCAACAAAGAGACAAATATCTAGGAATAAACAAAGGATTTAGAAGATCTATATACTGAAAATTACAAGTATTATTAAAAGAGATTTAAAAAGACAATGAAATGGGAAAATATTTCATGTTTATGGATTGGAAGAATCAACATAAGTTAAAATGTCTGTTTTTCCCAAATCAATATATGATTTAATACATTCTCCATCAAAATCCCAATGAAATTTTTTGTATTTTACTTTTTGATTTGTCAGCATCAAAATGCCCACAGATATAGCCTGTCTTCATGAGTCTATAAAATAGAATTAAAACATGAAAGCACTTAAAAAGTTAGGTGCTATACTAAAGTTTGATACTATCCTGAGTATTTTTGCTAGAAGTATATGAATTAAGAAACATTTTTAAAGAAATTTCTGCTTATAATTCAATACAAATAATAAGGTACAAGAGCACAATGTGGCAGGGAAAGAAAGGCAGATGGATAGCCAGACAAGTCTGGGTTCAAACTTTGAGTCTGTGTGTTATTAACTGTATCATCTTTGTCAAGTAAGTTTATTCCTTTGAAACTGTTTCTTCACCTTTAAAATGGGATAATAATACTGGCTTCATCGGATTGTTGGAAAGACTAAGTAAAACAAAAACACTAATTCAAACAGTTATATGCACCTCTAAATACATTGCAGCATAACTTATAAGAGTCGAGATATGGGAGCAACCTAGATATCCATTGATAGATTGTATATATTATATATAACATAGATTATATATGTTATATATAATATGTTATATATTGTATATTATATAATATATAATGAATGAATATGTGTGTGTGTATTCACAGAAACAGAATTAAAGGGATGGTAAACAGAGGGGGAGGGGAATGGGTAAAAAAAGGTGAAGGGGAATATAGTTAATAATATTGTCATAAGTTTACATGGTGACAAATGATTGCTAAAATTAGTGAGTTGGTCATATTGTAAAGGCATAAAAATGTCAAACCACAATATTGTACACCTGAAACTAATATAACTAATATAATACTGTATATACCAACTCTATCTAATTTTAAAAGATTATTATAGTAAATACTACTACTCTCCGCTGGTAGGAATGAAAACTGGTACAGCATCTGAGGAAGACATGTGGGGACATCCATCCATATAATGTACTTCTCCTTTGAACAAGCAATACCACTTGAAGAAATTTTTCACACAGCCTCACACAGTTATGAAGAGATATATTATGCATGGCTGTTCAATACAGGATTTAGAAATAACCTAATTATATAGGTCTATAAATAACCTAAATATGCAAAAATAATAAACCTTCAAAAATTCATATCCATATAATAGAAAATCATAAAGCTATATAACATGAGAAAATTCTTTGTGGAATAATTATATGAAATGAACTTCAAGATAACTTGTTCAGTGAAAAAGTAAAGTTCAAAAAGAAAAGTAGTTTTCCACTATTTGTGTGTTTTTTAAGAAAAGGATATTAGGGGTTTTTTGGGGTTTTTTTGTTTTTTTTATAAAACTGGACCATTTTAATATTCTGTACAATAAAATAGTTCTCCTGATGGCTGCAGGCATGTAAGCTGTTGTAATATTGTAGTATGCAGAAACATCACAGTCACATTTTCCTGATTGGTGTATAGTCTTCAATAATTACGAGCTACTTGCATAAAACTGCTGTCAAACCAGTAAGACTGCATTTATACATCCATCATTTTCAGGATTATTGGTAATCTGGGCATACTTTCCCCAAATAACCTTGCCTCCTTGTGTCACAAGGCCCAACTCGCTTACATTCACTTCAATGACAGTACCTTTCGTAATAACACCTAAAGTTATGTAAAGTGGGGATGAGGGATTTTTCTTGACACCAAGTATTGGCAGGCAAAAGGTGGCTTTCAGTTCAGGATGTGTTACATGGGCTTTCTTGAAACGTAAGCCCATTGGCCTAATGAATCTTTCATATTTAGGTGGTTTTTGAGTAAACCCATCTCCAACAAAGCAGATTTTAGTAACTATCCTCTTCCATGCTTTTTTCTTTCTCTTTCCTGTTCAAATAACTTTTAATACCTCTGTTTCTCCCTGGGCACGAACTTTGGGCAGAGGGACTTCCCATTTTCCCGCTATCTCTTTTCGTTTTTGTTTAATCATATTGGAAAGTACTTTAGCTCGGGACTGTCCCTCTCTGTCCAGTAAATATGCAGGTACTGCCCCTTGTGGAGTCTTTTCATCATTCTTTTGTTTGGTGTTTCTCTTTTCATGCATCTTGATGGTCTTTTTCATTTGTATTTTCTCAGCATGGCGCTGTTTGTGGTAGAGCTTAGCCTTCAGACCAATAATCTTTTTTGCCTTCTTTGAACGTTCATGAGCCTCTCGACCTTCCTTCTTTCTCTTTTTCTCGTGGTAATCCAAACGATATCCATAGCGCCTGCAGTGTAACTCAATATACTCGTTTTGTGGCATGGTTACGACCGCCAAGCGGCCCGGTACAGTCCCGGGAGCGCGAAGAAGCTTCCCACTCTCGGGTCTCAAAGACCCACGAACGAGGATATTAGTTTTAATATGCATGAAATGTTTCTGTAAGGGTTCACAAGGACCATGCAACTTTGGTGACCTCTGAGAAGGGAGAGCGGGAGACTCGAAGACAGAGGGAGACTCCCTGGGAACTCGTCGGTGCCTTTCAAATTCGGACCATCAAACATATCTCCTATTTGATAAAGAAAAAAAATGAATGGATGGATGAATGAATCAATGGCTAAATTACAATGTCTGCCATAAAATAAGTGTTCAAAAACTCTTAGCTTTTATTCCTTTCCACCCCCACCTATTTTAAAAGTAAATGTATACATTTTAACCCTCTACTAATTTCCCAAATAATTTCAAATATGCAATATTTTAGTTTAAATAAACAGTGAACCTGCGAGTATTTTTAAAAATCCATATTTTCCCATGGCATCAAATGCAAAAAAAAAAGAAAGAAAGAAAGAAATAGAATACTGTGTCTTTCAACAGATTCTGATTCTTTATTTTTAAAAAGGCCTATTTCCAATCCAAGGTGAACTCATGGACATTAGGAACGGGAGAACGAGCTCAGGACACCTTGGTGCCTCCCCAAAGGGGACAAGGTGAACTCCATGCCTGCAGAGCCAAAGCAAATCATCTTTTGAATTCTGCCTCCTCTCCTGCAGACCTTTATAGCCACCTTTGATCAGCAAAAAGAAATTTACTGATTGTAGAACCAACAAGCAAGAAAATGTTCCCAAAAAGGGAAGAGGCCAACAATGCTACAAATCCAATGATCTAAGCAGTTGGGAGTATGAACAGAGTAATTCGATTTTATTGTACTTCCAATTTTTATATTTGACTAAGGTACTCTCCCTTTACATACAAATGATAATCCTTCACCTTTCTGTTTCCTGGATCATTTTTAGAATCCCTTCAAATTGTTAACATACTGCAATAGGTTTAAGCCCATTTGGTGTTTCCTATTTCAACTCTCAGGTTATCTGCTTTCTTAGTACTTTCCATCTTTATGTGTGTTGGTTCTTTCAAAAAAAGTAGATTGAGATAAGACTGCTTTTTTTTCCCTTTTGACTTCATCTATCACATCTGTCATGGCCTTCCTGCTTGATAAATGTTTATTCAACAAAACACGTGTGTGGATATAGAGATTATATGATACAAGGCAATGAGAGGTCAATGATAACCCAAGACAAAGATACTGAAGGTGAAGCAGCGCAGTCTCGCCCTAAGAGTCACATGGGGAAAAGCGGAGGGTTTGTGGTCCCAAGAGAGGAGAAAACTCCTGTGGTCATATGGGGCTGGAAAGATTTTGCTAAGGAAAAGGTGCTGTTGGGCACTGAAGGGTTTGGAGAAAGGAATGAAGAGGTGAGGATGTCCCAGGTGGGAGGTTCAGGGTGAACATGGGTATGAAGAATGGACAGTCTAACCACATCTGTCCAGGAGCTGTCAGCTTAAAGCAGGCAGTTCCCAAAGTACAGACCATGTAACAAGAGAAGTACTAAATGATGTTAGTTGACATAAGGAAAATTATTTCATATTTTAATAGTTGAAAACCCCACTTGTCAAGAGAGGCTAGAATGACCTGAAATAAGCAGGACTAAGGAATTCCATTCAGGAGCGCCTGCCTGTAGTCAGCATGAACTCTGGCATGTCAGGTTCCTCGGGAGGGCTCCCAGAGCCCTCGGCACCAGGCAAACTCAGGGACCAAGGGAATTCTGAGGGAGTAAAGTGATGAAAGAACCTCAGTACTGGAACAGCCATTGTACTTTGTTTCCCGCATTCCTGGAGGCCCCATACCCCCCGCCGCACCCTGCCTAGGAGGGGGGTCAGGTGGGCACGGTCACCCAGACTGAACACATGGGGCCATGAAGGGGAAGAAAGTTCCAGCTATATGCCAAGAGACTCAGGGTAGTAAATTTATTTCAATTTTAAAAGTGAGTTATATTGGGGGCAAAAATGTAAGTAGTAATTTATAATTGCAGGAAGTTCACATGTACAGCCAAAAATTATGAAGAATGTATTAATTGTCTGAGGTCAGCCACAACAAAGTACCACAAATTAAGTGGCTTAAACAACAGAAATTTATGGCCTCTGAGTTCTGGAAGTCCAAAATCAATTTGTCAGCAAGGCTGGCTCTTTCTGAGGGTTCTGAAGGAGAATCTGTCTCATGACTCCCTCCCAGCTTCTGGTAGCCTCAGGCATTCCTTGGCTTGTAGATGGTATTCTCTTTATATCTTAATAGCATCTTCCTTCTATTGGTGTCTGTCTTTGTGTGAAAATACCCCCTTTTTATAAGGACACCAGTTATTTTGGATTAGGGCCCACCTTAATAACTGTATCTTAACTACCCTAGCCATGATCTTATTTCCAAACTAGGTCACATTCTTAAGCATTGGGGGATCTCAACACATCTTTGGAGGAGGAGGCACAACTAAACAGATAACAAAGGAATGATTTTAATGACTGGCTTAATGAAAACTGTCCATGCTGGCTTTGGTTTATTTAAGTTTATATGTGTCATTTTATAGCTGTGCTATCCTGGGCAATTCATTTAAATTTCTATAATTCATTTTCCTCATTTATATAAAGAGGAAAATGAACTAGATCAGCAGTTACCAAAACTCTTTGGATTTTATGCAGTACTAAATTTTCAAAGAAGAAAAGATATGGCAAGAGGTCTAAAACTTAATTTTGCCAAATGTGCCAGGGGTTGGGTAATTCGTCACTAATGCTGCTTCTCCCTCCACCTGAGCACACAGCTAACCTGTATTTCTCAGCCTCATTTGCTATTGTCTGTCCATGCGGTGAATTCTGGCCAATGAAATAGGAATAGAAGTGATGTGCTCCGCTTCCAGCCCTGGCCAATAAAAGTCTCCCTCCTGGAATCTTCCTTCTCTTTCTATGTGTGTCCACTAGATGGAGAAGACTTTGGGGACCTAGGTGAGGGCAGACCCACAGGATGAAAGGAGATTGGGTGTCTGTGTGAACATGAGTAAAACTCCCTATATTCAGATTTTACTTGAGGAGGATATGAACTTGATTAGGTTAATCCATTGATATTTGGGGATTATAGCAACTGTCATTACTTACCATAACTTACAATGTCTATCCAGAAAAAGTCCAGGCATTGTTAATATAATGAGAATGGTTTGCACATCATCGATGTAACCAGGCAGCCGAGGAGAGTGGACTGGAATGTGTAGGTGTGAACAAGGATGACTTCACTGTACTAGTCAGTGGGGGTGTTAGACACCAATGAATGAGCATGTGTACTGTGTGGCTATTGCATTCAAAATGACTGAGCGAGTAGAGCAATGAATCTGCATCAAATTGTGCATTAAGCTTGGACATTTCTCTGCAGAAACTATTCAGATCATTCAGAAGGATTTTGGGGGTGACACAATGAGTACAGTGCCAATGAAAGTATGGCACAAACACTTCAAAGATGGTCAAGAATCTGTTGAAAGTGATCCACATTCTGGAAGGCCTGCAACAAGCAGAACACCTGAGAATGTTGAATGTGTATGGGCTGCAATCAACAAAGAACAGCAACTGACAGTGTGAGAACTAAAATTGGGAGAATGATCTGGGGATTCCAAAAACTACGGTTGCTGAGATTTTGATGCAGGATCTTGGCATGAAATGTGTTGTCGCAAAATTTGTCTGTGGTGTCTGCTACCAGAGCAGAAGATAGAAGAACCGTAGTGCTGCAGTTGGCAGAACTATGTGAGATGCCAAGGTGCCTACTTTGAAGGGGACTGAGGCATCATTGTCCTACGTACTATGTTTCTTGTATCTTGTATCTTCTTCAATAAATATCCTTATTTTTCATAGTACATGGCTGGATACTTGCTGGGCAGACCTCATACCAAGTAAGGACATTAAAAAGATATCTGCTATCATAAAGAAAGGATATTTTAACATCAAAATTGTAGGAAGCATACAGTATTTAGAAGTAAGAGCAGTCCTTCATATTGAAAAACTAGTTCTCTGAAAAATTCATTGCCTTGAACCTGATTTTTCTTATTTCACCATGAATAATAAGTGAAAACTTCATTACAGACAGTCATTGGCCCATGAAGCAACAATGAACCTCTGGGATAGCTGACTCTCTGTTCAGTCAGAAACCAAATGACAGGCTGAATTCGCCTGCTCAGAGTTGTCAGGGAGCAGCCTCTCTAAATCTTATGGATGGGCCATCCTCTGTGTCGCTTCATTTCCAGCAGGCTCTATGCTCGGGGTGGGCTTCAAATCTCCGGGCTGACACGAGCATAGCCCCAGGGAGAAGACAGCCTTCTTCCCAAGTCCCGGGGTGGGTTAGTGCTTACCCTAACCAAATGCCGCAGCCCTTCCAGGTCTGAAATCCTGTTTGTGGCTGGAGCAACCTGACTTGAAAAAGCCAGAGAATATCATAGTAACGCATGGCATTCCTCACTGCTGGCTGCCATAATGCTGCAGAAGACCTAAACAAAGATTCTGTCCAGCTTCTCGGTGGGATTTAAAACAAAGCATGGGAGAAAAACTGGTTTACAATGAAGCACTTCGAAGATAAAGGGTAAATGATAATCAAGCAGGCAACATATTTCAAATAAAATATGTTCTTATCCATATCAAGAAATATGTAGATTCCAAATTCTTGGCCTTAAGCAGGCTTATTAATTTAAAATTAATTAATATGTTTTTTCTTAGGAGCATAAAAACAAATGAAGTAAATTTGGGATAGTTAAAAACTCAGTTTCTCTATCTATCATAATATTTTATATGCTACTAGAATCATTCCATCTGTGAGAAAGAGTCAAAATAAAGACATCCAGCACTCAGTACCATCAAGGTCTCAGTTCTCTCTCCTGAAACTTGTTGCCTTCCTTCTTTCTTAACTTGGTGATTCTTAGTATAATTAAATGTGCTTTTTCTTTATCCAGTTTAGTACAAAATTTCAGGGTTTTGATTCAAGTTCCATAGAATTTCGTATCTCTCCAAATCCTTTGAAAGACCTGTGCTATCATTTTGGTTTCTTTTGTTCTAATTATGCCAGGATACTGAGTATATTTGCTTCTTTCCAACCATCTAGCCTGGACTCATAAAATGTAACCCAGCGTATATCTTCCAGAAATAATTGGGCAATAAAGAATTTTCAAACCTAGTTCAGATAAAAACTACAATATTATTCTCCATTCACTGGTGTTTTTCAGGCTATTTTTCTTTTCATCTCCGTTATCATAATTCAGTCAAGAGTCCTTCAATATAAGTTCTCAACATAGTAATAAGTTTGTTTCTGTTATTTTCCATCCATACTTTTCTCTTTTCTCTCTCAGGCAAACATAAAGGCTAACTCTTGTTTTTATAGCTTCAAGACTATCTCTGACCTCAATCACCATGTAACACTGTACTTTTCATTTTTCCCCTCAAAAAAGAAAAAAATAAATAAAAGCTTTAGTCCTAGACATCTGTTTGCTATTCCTACTCTATCAAAACATGTGGATCAACCTCTGTTTTGGAAATCAAGTATTCACAATTATTAAGATGATGATCAAATGTAAAAATAAAATTTAGAGTTTTTTCTAAAGATATTTGACATTTCTAAAGTATTGTCAAATATCAAGGAATAATTAATTATTCATTCTTTTAACAAATGCTTTTTTCATTCCCTGATCATGTCAGTCATTATGGTCTAGGAGCTGAGGACACTGCACTAAACCAAACACTAGATCCAGAGAAGGAAGTAGGAAATAAACACATGGGCAACCACAACAAAACACCATGTTGCGAGAAGCAAACTGGGTAAAGAGAGAATGGTTGATGGCACACACTTGAGGAAGTCGTCTCTTAGACCATGGGGATGAGAAAAAGACAACCCATGCTGTGGAGTTGGGAGGCAACAACCTCCCAGGCAGGGAGAATGCATGTGCAAAAGTCTAGCAGCTGGAAAGAGTTCACCAAAGTCAGAGCATAGAAAGGAGGCCACTGTGGCTAGATCGTTATTTCATTCATCTCTATGATCACTGTTAAGTCCAATTTAGAATCATTTTTTTCTTGTATCTAATACACCATTTTAATTTCCTAGAAAGTAACTTACTACTTAACTTTAGTAATGACTTACACAGTGATTGAGTCTGTCTTTGACACCAGAGAAGGCTTCCGAAGTCAACGTTTCGAAAGCAACAGCTACCACCGCAGTGGGCGGAAAGAGTTAATACACCTCCCAAAACACCCTATTTACTGCCAAGAAATCCTATATACCCTGAGACAATCTGGCTGGGTATTTGTCACCATCTGGTATTTAAAACCCATTGGGCAGAACTGGCCAGCATTTTAAAAAGAATACAACAAATCTAGGTTTTAAATGCACACATCCATTGAACTGGGCTGTGCTAATCTTTGCCTTGGAGTGCCTTGGTTTTAAAAACATTGCAAACTTTCTAACAAAATGTCATGTAAAAAAGACTAGAGGAGTAGGGCTTGATTGTCTCCTCTGAGCTCAGCAGGATGCTAATGTCTGCTCCATCTGCTTCCTGTAAGTACTGGGTCAGTCAGGAATCAGCCAACCTGAATCAGACAAAGTGCTGACTGCTGGCCCAGCTCTGCTCCAGTTCTGTAGCAACCGGGAGAAGAGGCTTCTGGGCAAAGAATGGGGTAATCACTGAGAGGATGAACTCTGACATCAAGGAGCCTTGAGTGCAAATTCTAGGCTGGCCCTCACCAGTACTAAGACCTCAGTCACCAGGTAACTTACCTGGCTTCTCCAAGACTCATTTGTAGCAACTGTAGAAAGATCGTAACTACTTACTTGATTTGTTGTGAAAATTAGTGCAAAAATGTATGTAAAGTCTGTGGCATATACCAGGTGTTTAACAATAGCAGGTATCATTTTGTCAGTCTTAGTAATAAATTTCATTCTTCAGGTGAGGAGAGGAACACCTGCTAAGCAATTTCCATTCTCGTAGAGATACCACAGGTGTTGAGGATATATAAGTCCACCAACCTACCAAGGCCACCTTGTATCAGTCCAATTGCTACATCTACCCTGTCCCTACTTATTTAAGGATAGAGACCACAATAGGACCGCTGACCCTAGTGGCCCCCATTGATGAGGGACCTTAGATGTAGACACGTTAGGTAAATACCTTGTAAGGTGATTGCAACATGACCTCCTAACTGCCGTGTACCTTCTCTCCAAAGGTCTCCTGGATTCCGAGTGGGAGGAAATAGCAGCTGGTAGCAATGTCCCTTCACTCACCACTTCTAAGATAGCTCTGTTAACACCCTGTCTCCCAGATACAAAAGCTTAAGAGAAATTTTAAAAATAGCCGCTTCTCACACAATAAAAGGTCTAGAATGTTCTCCACTACATAGAATAGAAAACACCTGAAACTTACAAAACGATTTCAGGTACTCTTCACTTGATGGCACAATTTGTTATTTGTAACTTAGTAACAGCCGGTCAGCTTATAAATGACTCTGTTCCTTCAAATCAGAATAGGCTCTGTTAAAGTCAGATCTCCTATAAAGAATACAGGACTTGAAACATTACTTCAAAGAAACAACCTGGAGAAAAACAATTCCTAGTCACTTCGAAGATCCCTCTATTTGGTGCTGGCACTTTGGACTGGTGATAGCGGGCTTAGAAAGGCTAGGATCCCAGCCCTGGCCCTGGTGGGCAATGCATGCAGATCCAGCAGCCTCTACCTGGAGATAAGGACATCACCGGGAAGCCTTGTGGTGCTGGCTGTCTTCCAGCCACTGGTGATCTCTTTTTGACCTCTGTCCCAAGGCGTTAGCCCCCTTTTAGTGATGGATTATCTGGAAAGCCCTCCTTCAGAGAACCTCTTAAGGGAGTGTCTCCTGTGCCACTGGAAACGAGTATATGACAATGACAGAGTCTTCTCTCACAGCTGCCAGAGCTTCTGCCTCCTTCTGACCTCATCTCCCGCCACTCTGTTCCTTACTCAGCCTTTGTAGCCTTTTTTCAATTCTTCTCACACAACCTGTCCTTCTGTGCCTCAAGTCTGGGAACATGCTGTTTTTTCTAATTGGAATGCTTTGCTCCAGAACCAGCCACATACTTTGCAGGATCTAGTATAAAATTAAAATGCAAGCATTCTTTTTACACAGCAAGGGAAATCATCAACAAAATAAAGAGGCAACACACAGAATGGGAGAATATATTTACCGATACATATGATAAGGAGTTAATATCCAAAATTTATAAGGAACTCACAAAACTCAACACTGAAAAAACAAACAACCCAATTAAAACTGAGCAAAGACCTGAATAGACACATCTCCAAAGAGGACATACAGATGATCAATAGGCATATAAAAATATGTTCAACATCATTAATCATCAGAGGAATGCAAATTAAAACCACAATGACACATCATCTTACACCTGTCAGAATGGCTGTCGTCAATAAATCAACAAAGAACAAGTGCTGGTGAGGATGTGGAGAAATGGGAACTCTTTTGCACTATTGGTGGGAATGCAGACTGGTGCAGCCACTGTGGAAAGCAGTAGGGAGACACCTCAAAAAAATTAGAAATGGATCTACCTTTGGACCCAGCAATTTCACTTCTGGGAATATATCCAAAGGAACCCAAAACACTAATTCGAAAGAACATAAGCACCCCTATGCTCATTGTAGCATTATTTACAATCGCCAAGATATAGAAGCAGTCCAAGTGTCCATCAGTAGATGAGTGGATAAAACAATTATGGGATATTTACACAATGGAAAACTACTTGGCCATAAAAAAGAAAAAATCTTACCTATTGCAACAGTATGGATGGACTTGGAGAACATTATGCTAAGTGAAGTAAGCCAGTCAGAGAAAGACAAATATATGATTTTACTCATATGTGGCATCTAATGAACAAACTGAAATAACAAGGAAAATGGGGACAGATTTATAGATGGAGACCAGATGAGCTCGTGGGGAGATAGGGTAGGGAGTGGAGAGATTGAGCAAAAAGGAAAAACAACTCATGGACATAGACAACAGTGTGGTGCTCACTGCGGGGTATCAGGGTACTAAATGGTAATGGAAAAAAATACAATAAAGATTAAATAAAAGAACAAAATAAAATGCAAGCATTCTTATTTTTAAAATGGAGACAGCAGAACTTTACACCAAGCTTAGGGCCCTTTTAAGCACGGGGGCCCAAGCAAATGTGCAGGTCTCACACGAGCCAAAGCTGGCCCTGCTTTTTCTTCCGCTCCTCCCATGGCCCGCTCATCGTGGATGAGCTCACGATGTCTAGTTATTCTCTTTCAGTTCCTTTTTTTTTCCTTATAGCATTTAACACAATTTTAGATATTAATTAATTAAATAGCTTACTTTTGAGAGGTCTATGCCTCCTGCTCAACTTCTTTTTAGATTCTAAGCCTGTAATGGCAGAGGCTGTGACTAGGCTTGGCTATGGTTCGATCCCCAGTACCTAGAAATGTGTCTGGCATATGTTGACACTTAATAAATGCATGTTGCATGGATGGTTTAATTTACCTTCCTCTGCTTTTAGCTTGAAGCTACTTTTAATATTGAAATCTTTGGTGCATAAAAAAGTGATCAGGGCTTGAGCTCAGTCAGTGGAGTGGTACGTTCTCTCCTCATCTGAGAAACTGCCTCCTGCTTCCCAGATATGGCTTGCGTTCTAGAATCATTTCATTGCTTTTATGATTTCTGATCCACCAAAACTTTTATATTTTTCTTATATAAAGAAAACATCCCACTTCAGAAGGTTTATTTAGAAAAGAAAAAGATGGGTATCATGATGTGTCTGTAGAAGAAGTGAACGAGGAGTTATTCTGACACTAACAGGTGCGCTGTGCACCGCCGCACCATCGTGGCGCTAACCACCCAGAGTTAGCACAGACCCCGCAGGTGAAAGGGTACTGGCCCCACCAAGAATGCCCCCACTTCATACACCAGCCTCCAATGGAGTCCAAGGCCAGCCACACTTCTGGCTAGCTGGCTACATACTTGAGTTCTCTAGTGAGAGAGCAGTACAGGCCTCCCAGGAAGGTTTTAAATGGCTTAAAAGAGCAACGGAAGGAGACTGGCCTGGGTTTTTATCGTGGTTTGGGGTGGGGACAGGGTGAGGGCTTGCATGCTTGGAAAGGGAAGAAGGAGGAGTGAGGTTTAAATGCTGTGTCAGCAAACAAAGAAATACGAAGTCAGATTCCTCAATACACAACCTAAATTAGACAGAATGCGCCATGATCACTGTGTACTCATCTTAGAGCCTCAACAATTATCATGAATTTTTTTTTCTTCTAACCTTCTTCCCACTTCCTCAACCCTATCAGATTATTTTGAGGTAAATTTTAAGCACCAGACTATTTTGTTTAAATATTTTTCACCACATATCTCCTAAATACAGACTTTCCTTTTGAAATACAACTACAATTCCATTACAAGACCTGAAAAATTTTAACAATAATTTTCTCATATTATAAAACATTCATTCCGTGTTCATATCTCCACAATTTGCTTATAGATATTTATTTTTAAGTTTCTTTTGTTGGAATTTGGATTTAAGGAAAACAATTATGATTTATTAATATGATTCCTAAGTTTCTAATAGTTTAGAGGTTCCTAATAGATCTAATTATTGTTTTCTTTGCAATTTTATTGCTGAAGAAACTAAGTTGTTTGTCTTACGGAGATTCCCACAGTATGGCACACTTCATCAATGTTCTGGTTGTCTTTTTTCATGTGATGTTAGGAACCATTGAGAGTTGGTTCATGGACCTATAATTCACTAAGAGTTGTACAATGATGATTTCCTAATTCTATCATTCCTTCTTGATTAGTTAAAATACCTTTGTAAGTAGAAACTTCTCTTTATCACTTGCTTACTCTGAGATTTAGTTCTTAGAAGAATATGGCAATAATTGTTTCTCTCATCGTAACATTATTGATAATGAGTTGCTACCCTGTGTCCTTGAAAGTCAATCTTTGAGTTTATTGGAGGCTTTTTTAAAATACCATTTTAAACTCATGAATTTAAATATATTTGATTTTACTATTCTTACTAATTGTCAAGATTTTTTAACCTTAAGCCAGTGAAAATCAGTTCAACCTGATTCTTGACCCCAGTAGTCTTTGATAGTATGCTCACTGTTTGTTGTGACAAGGCTAGTCGTGAGTGTTGACTTGAACCAGACATTTCTCTAAGATGCCCTGTTCCTCTCATGGGAAATGGTACTTAGAGATCACAACATGAAAACTAAAAGTATTCATGGCTATTCAGTTTGTTGT